TGAGCCTGTCCTCTCTGGAGAGTCAGGTCTGCCTGTGTCCAGGGTCTATAACTAGACTGTGGTCACTGAGCCTGTCCTCTCTGGACAGTCAGGTCTGCCTGTGACCAGTGTCTATAACCAGACTGTGGTCACTGAACCTGTCGTCTCTGGACAGTCCTGGATGTCTGTGTACCCCAGTGTCAATGGCCAGGGTGTGGACATTGTGCCTGTACTTTGTCATACCCTGGTCAGATAATCAGCCAAAGTATGTGTCTTTCTAGGGCCTGGCAGCATTTCGGTGTGAGCTGTGTTTAGGTAGGGTCGCGTGCTTTGTGCTGCAATGTGGTTGAGTCTGATTTGTGCTGGTTTAGCAGGACCGGCTGGTGTTGATGTGGTTCAGGGCCTCCCCACCCCATCACCCTACCTGCTGTACGGCCAGTGTGCTGTCCATCTCCTCGAAAGACTCATCAGGCCAGTTATAAAAGTCCTGCAGAGACAGACAGACAGACAGACCGCAGGGGGCTGAGTCAACTGCTTTCAAACGCCGCACAAGTACAAGCAAGACCGAGCAGCCCCGACGCACAACAAAGCCCAGCTCTGTGTCAGAGTCGACTGGCGACAGGGCCGTCTGCTGTCGGTGTCGGTCACGGAATACAGGCTCAATGCAGATCCGTAAAAACGATCCAGTCACCGGTCAAGACTCACGCGTTGCCAAGTGTTTAAGTGGCAGCATGGGGGAGGCGGTGGGGACACGAGTACCGCAAACAGCTGGGAATTGAACACACACACACACACAATAAAAACAACCCGCTGGGCAGTCAAGGGCTGGGTTTAAACCCTGTACTGTTAGCGGAGCGATGCGGGGAACACACCCCCGGCCCGCAACCCGGAGACGAGTCGCTGCTACTGGACTCCCGCACACACAGGTCCGACACCCGCCGTCCCTCACAGCTCAGCACCGTGCACGAAGCACCGCCGGGCCCGCTTACACACACAAGAAGGGACCAAACACCGCGAAGGGGCAGCGTCTTTCCGCGGCAGCGCCGACAGGGAGATCTCTTCACTGTTGTTGCCTGGCACACACGACAGGCCCGACCCGTCCTGCGGACCTCTGCGCTCAACACCGCCCCCTCCCCGCCGCCCGAACCGCGGCGCACGACACCCACTCTGCGTGCGCCCTCTCTCCGCCCGGCTCGGTCCGGTCCGGCGGCTCGGACCCTCACCTGCGCCTTCGTCCCTGGCCGGTTCCTCCTCAGCACTGCTGCGCCCTCCGCCATGACCATCTCGCCGCAATCCCCGGATGCAGCCCCCGCACCGCTGCAGTGCCGCTTCCTTCCGCTAGGGGCTCCCTCGCCGCCGCACAGGCGCGTCAAAAGACTCCGATTCCCAGAACTCCCACCCCCGCCAGAATCGCAACAACTCCCAGTCCTACTGGGAGAGGGAGGAGGGAACATAGTTGAACTGCCCGCCCAGTATGTGATCTCCTGTCACAGCCTGAGGAACAGTGAGCCTGTCTCCCACTATTCAATTCAAGGTGTTCTATTAGCGTGGCCGATGGGTACAATCAGTGTTGCCAAAGCAAATAAAAATCCACATGAAACAAAACAGAAAATAAAAGCAAAATAAAATCTACAGACATATTACAGACATTTACAAAAAAGACATAACATCATATATTTACATATACTGTAAACATATGGAGCATTTTTGAGAGACAGGCTCACTGTTCCTCAGGCTGGGACAGGAGATCACATACTGGGCTGCCAGTTCAATTGAGCTCCCTCCTCCCTCCCCCAGTAGGATTGGGACCCGTTGTGATTCTGGCAGGTGTGTTAATCTGGGATTAGATATCTGAATTTAGGGAAGAATGTTTCTCTAATCCGAGAGTAATGCTAATGCTCCAGATTTGTATTTAAATGTCTTAGGATGCGTCTATACTGTAAATGTCTGAAGATTTCATATTGATTGTATTTGTATTGCTTTGGCAATAATGATTGATTAATTGTTCATGCCACTAAAGCTTCTCCAATTGAATTGAAATTGATACCGAAGGGACACTAAGAGGATGGTGAATCTACGTGCTGACAGTGACCCACAATTACACTGTGGTACTACACACGATATATGCAACTAATGTATATTTGAACAAAAATAGATAACTTGGCATGAAGTGACAACTGCTGCAGTGTTAAACGTGTACAAAGGTAATAAATAATAATAATCCTTACACTTCTATAGCGCTTTTCTGGA